TACCACAATTCAAAAATGAGGCGATAAATCCAAAGCTGACTCGTTTTGATTCTTCATGTTTGTACTCATCGCGTGTAACATTACATTGCAATTGTGGAGGCAGTGTATCTGTGAATTTATAGTCAAATTCATCTAATATTTGTGATTGTTGAACTTCGGATGATGTAACGGCAGTCACAGGCGTCAACATTTGTTGTTGTCTATCAGGTTGATGTTTTTCACAATACATGTCATTACTTCTATCTATAATAAAATGCTGAATATTTGTAACGTACGACCTAACTGATTGGAACGCAGTAGGCGAGCGCGCAAAGTTTATGCTCGCTATATGTCTCTTACTAACTTTCTCAGCATTAAGGAACGTGTTCGATCTTCGTTTAGCCTACAAGTGCGTTTTACGTGGAAATCTGTCGCATAGAACAATTCAAAATATTTGAGGCAGACTTCTGACTACTAATGACTATGGTGACTACGAATTTTCCTCACCTATTGAGGTTTCTTGAAAGTTTTTCTTCAGGAAGAAAAGTAGTACATATTCATTAAAGAATGCATATCAAAATTAACAAAGTTATGCTAACAAATATATACACATTAACAAAATTTCTTGGAGTTGAGCCTACTCCGTTCTGTTACGGATCTTATGCACTTTAATTGAATGACTCACCATTATTCAGTCTTAATGGAGTCTCCATGCAACCAATCAAAACAGGACCGAGTTCGGGTATTGAAATATCACATACGTTGTCAAATGCACATATTTGTCTACGATGTTTCTGATGGCCATCAGACAGAAAGACCTTCGAACAGTTTTCTTGGCTGCAGTTGTTACTTAATCCTTTATGTCTGGACCAAAACCCCACAAACAAACCATATAAGAACTCATTATTTGTACGGAAATAATGATCACGCTGTTCTTTGTAATAAGATGGAATTTCAAATAATTTGTTATTAGTCATCATAAAAAAAAATCGACTTATTTCATATGTCATATATTTGTGTTGAAAATTTTTTTCATCCATTTCTTTCACCTGCCCACCAATGGGCGATGGGTAATTTAATTGTTCTTGTTTTCGATCCATATTCCAACACTTGCAGAAGCCCTCAAATGACGTTTGACTAGTAATTAATCGTGATCTATAATTCTGAAATAATTGCACGTTAAAAGCTGTTGTACCGCCAAACCAAAAATATTGATCGTTTTTGATTGTTTCTGATGCTATATAAGTTCTTTTTAAATAATCGAAGGAATGATACGAGGGAAAATAACTAATTTTGCAATTTGTGCAAGCACTTTCAAATATGGAACAAGACGAAACATCACCTAAATTCATCAACGTTACATTCGAATGAATTTTAACCGGTATAAGTTGTTGCTGACAATAAAAGCAAATAGTTGTATATGGTCGAAGATTAATGATATTGACATCATGAGTATTGGCAACGTTTGTCATTTGATGATAACTTTGAAATATATGTCTTAAACAGATAATTGATGCAAATTGTTCGCGATACACATACTCATTCGATATAATATCAATCAAGGATGAAATGAGACATTTATCATATGTTGTTTTAAATTGCAG